CAGAGCTTCCGAAAAAGCACGTCTGCTCTTCCACACAAAAAAGCGGAAGAGCACATGCGTTCCCTGGACGCGGTACAGTTTTTCCGGGTTACCTCTGGTATCCCAGAAAAAAACCATAATCTAGATGTATCATGAGTAGCCAAATTTCTACTTGCACAAAACTGAACACTTTTGCCTACCCCTCCTCTGAGATCCTGCCTCGTCCCGTCTCAGCAGCCCCCTCTCACTCACTTCATTCTCTCCGTTACTTGCGCTCTCCACCGCCACTCACTTGTTCATTTTCACTAGGCTGGAGCTAGTGGTGCGGGGTGTGAGCTAGGGGTGAAGGCTCTGGTGTGGGGCTGAGGATAAGGATTTGGGGTGCAGGAGGAGGCAACTGGATGGAACTGAGGAGTTCAGTGTGCAGAAGGGGAACAGGGCTGGGGCATGAAGTTGGGGTGCAGGGGTGGGTAAGGCTCTGGCTACGAGGTGCAGGCTCTGGGGTGGGGCTGGTGATGAGGGGTTTGGGATGTAGGAGTGTGCTTTATGCTGGGATTGAAGGGTTTGTTGCTCGGGGGGGGATTCAGGGCTAGGGCAGGGGGCTGTGGTGGGGAGAGGGCTCAGGGGTGCTAGCTCCGGGCTTGTGGCGCTTATCTCAAGCAGCTCCAGGAAGAAGTGGCACATCCCCCATCCAGCTCCCCGGAAGAGGTGAGGCTACGTGTGCTAACCCCATCCTACGGTGTCGCCCTCACAGCTCTTATTGGCTGCAGTTCCCATCTATTGCGAGCTGCAAAGCTGGCACTCGGGTGGTGGCAGTTGCTGAGCCCCCGGCTGCCTCTATGCATAGAAGCCAGAGGGAGGACATGTCGCTGCTTCCAGGAGCTATGCAGTGCCAATTAGCACTGCTGTGCTGCTGACCAGACTTTTAATGACCCAGTCAGCACCTCCACCAGGGTCCCTGAACACCTGGCAACCCTGCTTTATGTTTAAAAAAAAGGGGGGTTTTGATTATTGAAAAGGGCCACGTTGGCTTTTTTTTCCCCTGACATTACATTTCTTAATTGATTGTAAGGGTTTTTCTTTTAATCAGCACATAGCACCTGAGCCCCGGCCACTAATCAGGGTCAGTGGTAATATTTCAAGTATTACAAGCCCCTGAGAGCTTCACATGTTTGTAAAAGGTTGCCAAAAATATTTTCGTTGCCTCCATCCTCAAAATGTAGCAAAATGTATACTCCCCCTTCCCACTCAAAAAAGTAAAAATATGTGCATTAGCCTATAGCCCAAGGCAGTACACTTGAGTCCTGGACAAGTGACAGTATGAAAGATAGATTTGAGCCAACAGATCAGGCCCAGAACCTTGGTCAACGGATGTGTGTGGGGGTGGGGTGGAGTGGGGTGGGTGAGAGCTTTTGTGGTTTTTAGGTATCTGATGATTTTGAGGCCCTTCATTTCTGGATGCCCAGCTTGACATTAGAAGTACCCAACCTTTAGGGCCTGTGTGGGGGGAAATTTCTGCTTAGAAGCTTTACACCAGGAAATGGAGATTCTAATTTTTCAAACGGGGCACCAAACATTTGCTTCTAACACTGGTGGGACTAAGAATAAAAAGATTCTAAAAGTGTTCATTTTTACTAAGCATGAACTTTCAGTAAGGCTTGCAGGCTTCAGAATTGATAAGCCATGTTTTTCTGTGTCGTCTATGCAGTTTTGCCACTCTCTGGAGGCACAGATCCCTTTTCATTTATATGCACGCTTGCATGCCTATCACCAGCACCCTGGAGTTTGAGGTATGTGTATACCCTTCTCTGAGTGGTGGGAGTGAGGCTGTACCCTTGTCCCCTTCACTGCATTCCTCCCTGTCCCAACTCAAACCTCCTCCCCCCCATCCCCTGCCATTGCACCCCTTCCTGTCCCACCTCCCACCCCCATACCTCTCACTGCATCCCTCCTTGTCCCACCCCCTCACCCATACCCATTACTGCCTCCCTCCCCATCCCACTCCATCTGACCTCCATCCCTCTGAATACATCCCTCCCTCATCCCAGCCTGCTCTCCACACCTACCCATCCCCACACTGTTCCCCATATAGCTCTCTCTCACCCATCCTCTCCATCTCCCAGAGCCACCATCCCCATGTCTCTCACCCCCACACCTCTGCATCCCATTCACCTCCCTGCACTGAAAGGGCCCTGCTCCACCCCCACTTGAGCCCTGGCTCCCCACTCCTTCACACCCACATTCCACCCTTTCCTCCAAGCCCCCTCTGCCAAGAGATATGACCCAAGGGATTAGCGGTGGGCCTGGCAGCAGGCACCACACACACTCCTCAGTGGTTGCTGGAAGTGGAGTGACCAGGTCCCAGTCATCTCCACTCTGCCTTCTCCCAGCCATGTTGCACGAAGGAGGAGTTGGGGGGCGGGGTGGAACTGCCCTGTGCAATCATCGATGGAAAGAAACAGAGCAGCACGGTGGGGAGCCAGCAGAGCAGAGCAGGCTGGGGCTGGGTCACTCTGCTTCCCACTCCTGACTATAAATGCAGGGGCAGGCATTACCCCTGATGACTGTGGCAGCCCCCATGCTAATCCCCCGAGCCACCCCGGATCCAAAGGGTGCCCTAAAGCATGGGGGCGGGGAGGTTGCCCCAAACCATCCTATGGATGGGACCACTCTGATACACTCCAATTATACACCCTTGTGCCCCCCTCATCCTCATGGTTCTGTAGCCTTCTGCCTCCCCCTGCATTCCCATCCGCCCACATACACTCCCTCCTCTCTCCTTCACTGCCCCCTGGCACCTTCATCCTGCCTGCAACCTTGAACTCTTTTACTCCCCATCCTCCCTCCTCCAGACTACCCTCCTCCCAACTGGGTGATTTAGGCAGCCCCTGGAAAACTGTATGAAAAAATGGTTTGGTGTAAGAAGATGCATGCATGCACAGTATGTGTGTTTTGTTTAGGGAGGTGCTTGTATTTTCGCATGTGTTTATAGCTGTGTGAATAAAAGCTACAGCCCAACTCTTTGACTTTTATTCCTTTTGCTGTCTTGTGCACAAAAAAATGGATGACATCAAATGTGTGTATTCATTTCATAATAAGTTTTTAAAGGAGAAGGGAACTCTAAAAGAAATGTATTATTTCTTAAAAAGTGAATGTTGTTGACTAGTAATTGCAGAAGAGCCAAGGTATCATACATTTCTCAGCACATTTGTTTAGCTATATTATAAATCCTTTGTTGCATACTCTTTCTTTTTATGTGCATACCTAGCACTTAGCAGCCTGGAGCCCTGATTTTAGTTAAGGTCTCTAGGCACTAATAAACAATGATAATAATAAATGATGTACAAGCATATGTATATATTACTGCATTCTAAATGAATTCATGTGTGTATCTTCAGGTGGGACTTTGTTTCTACAGATTTACTTATAAAGGTATCTGGACAGATGCATTTCTGAAGTTGTGGTCTATGGATTTGAATATGGATTTCAGGAGTAGGCTTTTAATGGACCCATTTCAGCTGTGAGAATGTCGTTCTAATTCCATACATAAAATTACAATAATTTTAGTGAACCAAACATGGAACTGGTTACAAAAAAAAAACTAGAAAAGGGGAAGGAAAAGAATCATGAAAACCCTCAGGAAATTTCATTTTTTAAAATGATCCTTTTGGACTATTTTGCTGCCAGCTCCATTGAACTGTAGCAAATAAACTTAGCTTATGCCTGTTTGGGCCTTGCAGTGAAAATGAGCACATAAGCAAGGGTCAGAGAGAGCAAGCAATGGGAGGAGAAGATTGAGTGGGGTGGGGTCTCAGGAGGGGTAAGAGAGGGCCATCAAGGAAGGGGTGGGCAGTCGGCAGGGCAAGGGTGTTTGGATTCCTGGAATTAGAAAGTTAGCAACCCTCCTTATAACCACTTTTCAAGATTACAATCCTGCAGCAGCTTCACCCACAAACCAAAATTAACAATTTCTACCAGACACTCTGTACAGTGCAAAATCTACATACATCTTTCTAACATAAAATAAAATAATATAGACCACTAAAGATCTGTGTTACACATCTTTTGTAAAATCCTGGCCTCAGACACCAGGCTGTACATTGATTCAAAATATACTGAGGGCCTACTCCAAAGGGGCCTAAGCAGGCAAAATTCCTCAGAAGTCAACAGGAATTTACCTGCAAAAACAGGCCTTCAGATAAGACTGTCTGTTCATGCATATTTAGCTATTAGGTGTTCTTTGAAAGTCTGAGGGGCTTCTCTCTCAAGCCAGTCTAACTCTGTTTAGCTAGTGAGAGGTGACCAGAATCTAACACAGGAGAAAATAGAAAGGAAGAAAAACAGCAGAAGAAACCTAAAATTGAGATTCTATCCAGATCTTGATCTATCAAGATCCTAATATCAATGACATTACCACAAGATTAGTCTATACATTTTAAACTGCATCTTTCTGCTTTTCTATTCCCACATCCTCATCAGATTAAATATAGGAAAGGAGAAAGGAAAGATACAGATGGGGGAACTGAGGCAGAGACTACTTAACTGGATTTCAGGCAGAGTAAGTCTTGCTAAATAGGGTATTAAACATTTTCATGTCCCAAGAGGGAAATAATAATAATGTTATAAGTGTATTTAAATAAGCTCTTCTTGTGTTAAAATATGAAGACCTAATGACATTTCAATAGTGATCTGGCAGTCCAATAGAGAATTGGCACGTGTATGATGGACTAGATGACCTAATGGGTGAAACCATAGTTTAATTTTCTGATCAAAAGAAAAAGGGAAGTGGCACAAGACAATGAAGTCGTTAAGCGTGAAGTGAAAGTGGTAAGTGATACATTTCAAAAACACAAGGGAAAATCCTTGGAAACCAAAAATGATGAAAGAAAACTTCTTTCACAGAATAATTAACTCATAGCTATGGAAGAAAAATTCAGGAATCTACAAAAGATCGTCTTGACATCCAAGTGTCTCTGTCTGGGTTTATACTCAATCAAGCAGTGTGAGACATCATCATTATTATGGCCACTTTTTGTTTGCTGCAAATTAGCTTTATGTTGCTGTGCACCACCAACATCTCAGCTCTGGATTGTAATATTCTTCCCCTCCTGCACAACAAAATGATCCAGGGACATTTACATGTTCTGAACAAAATGGGTCAACAATTTCCCGAGCAATGTCAAAGTGAGAAAATGCACTTCCAGTTCCCTGAGAAGTTTCTAAAGCTTAGAAAGAAAGAGAATGCCAAAGTAGCGATCCATGAGATCCTGCTACAGATCTTCTATATTTTTACCAAACATCTAACCTTAGTTGCCTGGGATGGAAGATCTCTTGAAAGATTCCAAAATGGAGTTAATCAGCAAATTGAACATCTGGATGCATGTTTGACAGAGAAGATAGAGAAGAAACAACCCTACTCAAGGAGTGAGGAAATCATTAGACTGAAACTGAAAAAGCACTTCCAAAAGTTAGATAACTTTCTAAAAGACAAACACTACAGCCTGTGTTCCTGGGAGATCATCCGCTTGGAAATTAGGAGATATCTTCATTTTATTGTCAAAGTTACCAGAAGGCTGAGAAACTAAGGTATAAACATTTTGACCTGAGAATTGGAATCAGAAAAAATATTTTAAACTATCTATCTATACTGTGAAAATACTTCTAGTTAAATTTTACTGGTTTTCTGTTACTACTTTTATGTTGCCAATCAGGTATTTTTGCATATAAATTATTGCAAAGAAATATTTTTAAAAAATGTATTAAACAATAAAGAAATAATTGAAAACTGACCACAAAATAACCTACTTAATTTTCAGTAAGTACGAGTGCATAGGACAGCGGTAATTTTGTGGCAATTAAAATTTTTGCCATAGTGTTCTCTTCTGAGAAAAGTCACTTAATTTTCAGTAAGTATGAGTGCATAGGACGACAGTGGTAATTTTGTGGCAATTAAAATTTCTGCCATAGTGTTCTCTTCTGAGAAAAGTGTTCCATTAATTTTGGTTCCCATGTCACCTATATAGATGAGCTCTTTTAATTCTGAAGGAACCACTCAGGCATGACTTTTTCAGGAATCCTGTAAATCAAGTATATAAATAATATAATGGTACTTTTCTTCTATTTTTAAATTGTTTTTGTTTAAAATAATTCATCGCTCTTTCAAGATATGCTCTTTCAAATAATGTATCTGATATTGTGTCTAATTAATTCCAGTATTTGATTTGTTCATGTAGTTCAGCTTATAACATGGTGCACATCTACACTACAAGACTTTATTTTGAAATAATATCAAACTGGAGGACTTAATCTGACTCATGTTAACCCTCATTTAGCGAGGAGTAAGGGAGGTCCAAGGAAGCGTGTTCGTCCTTCAACTCCCTGCTGTGTAGACAGCACCAAAAGCCAAATTAAGCTATTATTTCAATTTAAGCTACACAATTGAGTAGTTTAATTCAACTTTAGCCCTGATGTGTAGATATGCCCAAAGAACTTGTCTGTAGAGGGAAAAGACCAAAAGGGTTATTACAGAAGACACTATTCTGCAATACAGGCAGTCCCCAGGTTATGTACAAGATAGGGACTGTAGGTTTGTTCTTAAGTTGAATCTGTATGTAAGTCGGAACTGGCGTCCAGATTCAGCCGCTGCTGAAACTGATCAGTTTCATGTAACATTAGGGGTGTATGTATAAAAATATGTACAGAGAAAAGCTTGTACAGGCAGTCCCCGAGTTATGCGGATCTGACTTATGTCGGAGCCGCAGTTACGAACGGGGCCCGTCTCCCTGGTCTCCAGCAGACCAGGGAGAGGAAGCAAAGCGGCGGAGCACGCAGGCAGCGGACAGCCCAGACGCATCTGGGCTGTTCGCTGCCTGCGTGCTCCACCGCTTTGCTTCCTCTCCCTGGTCTGCTGGAGACCAGGGAGACGGGCCCCGTTCGTAACTGCGGATCCGACATAAGTCGGATTCGCGTAACTCGGGGACTGCCTGTAGTTCCCTATAAGCGGACATTCTTATTCTAGCATATTAGTGTCTATCCTGGCAGCTATTCCAGAATATCTATTATGTTTTCAATGCAGACACTGACTTACATTCCCTGTGTGGACTCACCTTAAGACCCTCTTAGCCAACAACACATCTTAGTGCTCTAAATATATATATGTATTATCATGAGCTTTCATGGGCAAAACCTATTTCTTCAGATGAGTTGATATATTGAGATCTTAGTGCTCTATGCCTTGAGATATTCAAGCTGGCTGCTGAAATCTCAACACAACAAGATCTTAGTGCTCTGTGTCTTGAGATAGTCAAGCTGGCTGCTGAAATCTCAACACAACAACACTACTCACAATATTTTATTATTACTTAATTTTTTTGTCCATTACACTTTGTTTGGAAGTGCAAGAGTTAGTCCTTGGTACTCCAACATATTTTACACACAAGCCTCGTGGGCCTGAATACAATAATTACAAGGTAAATGAGTTCTTCAAAATGCTAAACTTTCCAGGGGTGATCACAGTTTTCACTCAGTAAGCTGATGTGTGTTACTCAGGGAAAAGCACATCTTCAGCAATTCAAGAAATCAAGATGCAAAGTTGTAGTGGTAAGATTCAATCTGATAAGTTCGACTGTAACAAGGAAGACAGTGATACTCCACAATTACAAAGGGTGCATCTACACTGCACCGTTTTTCCAGAATAATGGCCGTTATTCTGGAAAAACAATACCAGCAATTGCGTTATTTTGCCAGAAAGTCAAAATAACGGACGGCTTTTTTGATGGCGGTAAACCTCATTCCATGAGGAATAAGCCCTTTGCCAAATGAGCTCTTTTGGAAGAGGGTGCGTGTGGATGAGGAATCGGGAGTTTTGTCAAAAAAAGAGGCCTCCAGGAAATCCCACAGTTGCCCTGCTGGTGAGTCCGTCCACACTTATTGCAACTTTATAGTTCCTGTTCCCCAGCAGCTCTTAAAGCTGCAGACACAGGGGACAGGGCTTGTGGCAAGAAGCTGGCCTTCAGAGATGCCAGTCACAATGCAGCTGCTAGTGCCTGACATCTGGGCTCCATATCCCAGTCACAAGCCCCCCCGAGCTCTCTGCCCATCCCAGTGAGCATGCACAGGGCTCCCAAAAGCCTGCCAGGGGCTGCAAGAGGCATGCACCATCCTGGTCTGGGATGGAGATCCTGACCCACCTTGAGGTATGGGGTAACGAGGAGAACCTCCAGGATCTCCACTCCAGACGCAGGAACAGGGACATATACGGCCGAATGGCTGAGAGCCTGGACACAAAGGGCTATACTGTGCTTGAGCAGTGAAGTGAGAGAGCTCCGGCAGGCCTACGCCAGAGCAAGGGAGCGCAGCTCGTGCTCCAGGGCAGGACACCACTCCTGCCCCTATTTTGATTACCTGAATCAGAGCAGCCCCTTTTCCGCCCCTAGTGGTGGGCTCAGGGCTGGAGACTCCCGTTATCACCCGCCCAGGGCTCCCAGCCCAAGAGGAGAAGGAAGAGGAGGAGGAGGAAATGGCCAGTGCAATAACCACCATCACCCTGGAGCCAGTATCCCATGTCCTGGATGTGTCCAGGCATCCTCTGAGGCCGGGGAGGGAGCAGCAGGTGAGTAGTCTAATTTTTCACACACACAGGGTGAGGGTGGCAGGCACTGAGGGGCTGAGTGTGATCATCTATCAGCCTTCTTGGCCTGTCCATCACACTGCAGTCCACGCATGTGGATGCACATGCAGCAGCAATTTGTGCCATGCAGCCCCAGGAGACTGCACCGGAACACCCCTGAGTTCCTGCTCACAGGCTCTGCGGAGGCCGGCCCCACGGCAGACCCCCACTTCCGAAAGGAGACTTGAGACAAGGGCACGCACACATACAGACTCTGGAGTGCCGCACACGGGCATGTCTGCGCACACAGGACACCTCATGCTCCTGGGGACACCACTGCTGCAAGGCACAGGGATATGTGCGGCACCAATGGAAGCCCAGGCTGCTCAATTGGTCCTCAGTGTGGTCAGCCATTTCCCTTGTCTGCTGTCCGTGGGATGTGTGTGGGGGAGGGAGGGGCGGGAAGCATGGGCCCCTGGAGATCTCTGGACCCCTGTAAGGCAGGACTCACTGTCCAGGCCACACATGACCTTGCTACCAGGACATCACCATCCTTTGTCCCGGGAACTGTTGCTCTCAGCTCACAGATGAGGGCAAGGCCTCAGGGACAGTGTCTCCAGGGATGACCGACCACTTCTCTTTATTCTCCCCAGTTGGACCAGCCGTGACTGCGGGGCAATCAACATCAGCTGAGTCAGCCACCTGACCTCAGAGGGAGCTGCAGGTACTGAAGGGTCCAGGAAGACCTGATGAGGGAGCACGTCTCCATCCGCTGGGACATGAAGCAGACACTAGCCCAGAAGGTTCAGGATGACTTGCAGTGGTGGTTCCAGATGTGGACTGAGCAGCAGGGCTGCAACATGTGTGCAACCATCCAGGAGCTCCTGACCTACCCTGCACTAGTCCCAGTGCCTGCTCTCACTTCCTATGCCTGACCTGGCTCCAGGCCCCCCTCCTGCCTATCCCCCTATCCTCCCTGGACTCCTCCACCCCTGAGGTCCCCAAGGTCCCCGCCCACGAGGTGGAGGAAGCACCTAAGCCACGAGCCACTCCCAGCCCCAGCCCTGAGCCTCTTCTCCCCCCTCCAAGGTTCTCAGCCCCTTTCCCTCATCCCATTTCCAGGTTCTCAGGCCCCCTCTTCCCCAGTTACTTCTACCCCAAATAAATAACCAAACAGTTCTTTTTTTTCAAAACCAAACAGTTTTTTTGATTGTGTCTGCCAGGAAGAGGAGTGGAGGGGGGAAGGGAGGGGTTGTTGTAGGAAAAGCAGAGAGAGGCAAGGCACAGGCCTCTAGTGGGGAGGCCCTGGAGAGAGTTACTGGGGTCCTTGAGAGAAACTCTCCCTCAGGGTCTCCTGGATGCGCACACCCACCTGATGGGCCTGCCAGATGCTATGTGGCTGTCCAAAGACCCTGGACAACCACTCAGCCCAGGGCCGGCCCACAACATTTTGGCAACTGAGGTGGAAAGCTCAAATGATGCCCCCATGCCACCTTTTCTCCTGCCTGCCTGTTATGTCTCTTGTGCCCTCCTTCCTCCAGCATAGCACTCCACAATCTTTGTGCATCTAGAGCAGAGAAAATACATATGCACCAGCAGCAGATACAATTTTCTGGGTCCCAGTGGCACCGCCCCACAATCTGGCACCTGAGGTTACCACCTCAGTTCTCCTCATGGTAAGGCCAGCCCTGACTCAGCCTCTGCCTCCCACCTTTGCAAGAACATTTCCCTCTTATTTTCACAAATGTTGTGGAGGACACATCAGGCCAACACCACCTGGGGGACGTTCTGTTTGCTGAGGTCCAGCCGGAAGAGGAGACAATGGAATCTCCCTTTGAGATGGCCAAAGATGCCTTTTAAAGGTAGGATTCCCTTCCCCATCCTGTACCTCCAGTGCCTGGCTCTGCGGGATGGGGATTTGCTTGGGGAGATGCTGGAGGTTCCTGGCCAGGGCCAGGCCACAACATTTTAGCACCT